GGTTTCACCCTGGCTGCGATGACAGCTGCTAATCGCTGTAGTTTGTCGCTCCCCGTGTGTCGAGCCCTTTATGGTGGCCCTCAAAGGGCCATTTGTAATGAACTTTGTTTCATGTTTAACTTTGACTAAACAGAGTTTTAATACATCCTCTTTTAAACATGATAAGAACTAAGTATACGACTGACTAAATCTGAAATAAATAATACAGAATTGACAGGGAATTCCCATGGATAATCCACATGCATTATGGTAGATGTAGATTATGATTGATGCTGACTTTAAAGCAGCTTATTTTGAGACACTAATACTGAGCTAACCAACTAAACTCAGTTACTTTAAGCCAGCAGCTCAGGGGCAGGACAGTTATCTTTCACCTTTTAAATTTGTTTATTTTGTTGCATTTAATCATAAATTTAAAGTTTACCATTGATATAAGAAACTATTTTCATATTAAATAAAAAAGTTAAAAGTACCTGCCACCTGGTGGGCCACACGGGAGTCACTCATGGGCCACATTTGGCCCACGGGCCTTGAGTTTGACACGTGCTTCAGAGCCATCACGACAATCATGGCGTCCTTAAGATTGTCAGACGGACAAAATCAGGTCAAAAATCAGGATCATTACACTGCGGTGTGAACCAGACAATAAGACCCTAACACTTTCATGCAGGAGTGACTTTTCGCCTTTTATTTATTTATTTTTTTGACAAAATGGTCCGGCTGATGTAGACCGTCCCAGACAGCACAGCTACATAAAGCCGCCTCTGTTTCCTACGAAGATAGTTTCCACCCCGTCTCCTCCGAGCACAAAAATTGTGGCAACTCCTTTCTCAAGTTCTTTAACTGTCTTTATAAATTTCATTCGACAAGTTTTATTTGTAAGTTTTGCTGGGACAGCTGTAAAGATAGCTGTGTATTTTCTTACATTTTCTAACACTTTTTAAAAAATAAACACACSCTCACAGCTCCGACCAATCACACARYACTTGGCGCCYATACCTCTGTGAGAAAAAGTTCTGCCAAGAGGCTGTGCACAGAAAAGTTTTTTCTTTTTTTCTKTCGACCATGCGAACAAGAAAAACGTTTGGCACTTCTGATGAAGTATAAATCCACATGTAAACTTGTGCTAGTGAGAYGATTTAGATCCCTGTTTGAAATGCAGTTAATCCGAATTAGAGTGAAACAAGTTTACATTTCAAACTTGGCTTAGAACAAGGCTCTTCACATGTAGGCTGTATTTGCACAGAATGAGATTATATAAAACATTCATAAAAGTTAAGCTGCCCAGCTCGTTGCCAAGTGCTACATTTCTCTGAGATTACAGAGCAGTGATTGATGCTCCTGTAAACAGACTGCATGGCTCGACTTCACGTCTTGTTTCAGCTTGTCACCGCCATCAGAAACTCAGAGGATTTGACTCTTCGTTTGGTCTGAAACTGAACTTTAAACTGGACCGTGCAGTAAAACACTTTGTGGATGTTTTGGGGAAACTTTAAATAATGTTTGAGCACAAAAAAACCCTTAAACCTAAAGCAGAGAACAGTTCAGTCTTCAAATGAGAGAAGAAACGTGTTTAAAAATTAAAACCAAGTCCATTTGCTTTAAGTACAGTTCTAATGTGCTCTTTCTGAACAGAATCAACCTGATACATATTTGCTTTCAAACTTTTCCAAATAACTGAAGTCCTCCAAACATCAGCAGTGATTCATTTTTCTCCAGGAAATGATGAGATATGGGATGAATATGTCATCTATTCAGTTTAGTTTGATGTCAAATAAGCACTACTCAGCACTTTGTCAGAACAGCAAATAGTTTTCAGAACAACATGATGATCTTTATATATATTCTGTGCTCTTTTTGTCTGAAAGTGTTTGTTAATCTAAAAAATGAAGTCATTTTCTCTCATTGCTTCATGTTGGCTGAGCCAAAGCTAATTAACATGGAGCTCTTAGGCCAGTTAGGTGTGGTTGTTTATTTAAAGTCACTACTGTACATGACTCTTAATTTCTGCTTCACCTAGCATCAGCTGGCCAAAGCTGTAAGAAAATGCATCAGGAATGGGAAAMGTAATGATGGAAGGAGCCACAATTATTTGTTAATGCCACCAGAGGGCCACATAGCCCTGCACACTTACCCCACATGTAATGCTGTTATAAAACTATGGATGTGTATTTTTTATTATTTAACCAGCATACGGTGCCGTAACTTAACATACTTCATGCTCAAATACACATATAACAGTTATACTCTTGTTTAATAAATATGAATACTAAACGTTGGAAACAAAGCAAAACTAAACACTTACTATGATTTCTCTTTTCTCAGTGCAAAGGGATCATAATTATGGAAATAAAACATACAAAGCTCCGTCATGGTGGTTCTGGTGGAAAATGTCCTCAAAAGTGTACTTTTGATTTGAGGTCAGCTGTGACCTCAGTAAACTTCTCTTACTGTATTTTTCAGACTATAAGCCGCACCGGACTATAAGCCGCACATGCCATTTTTAAAAAAAATCAGCGAACATTAACATATAAGCCGCACCGGACTATAAGCCGCACCCCCAACATAAAAAAAAACAGTACACCCAAATTTGTTGTCAAAAGTGAATTCAACATCAAAACATAAAAAGCAAACCTTTAGGAATTAAAGTTTGGAGGAATACGGTTCATTTAACTGACCTTATTTTGGTAGTTTTCTTTAACAGTTTCTGGTCAAACAA